TAAATAAGATACCTCTTTCAAGATTAGCATTCAAATAGTGTAATATACGATAGATAGCCTGTAGGTGCACTTTTTTAAGACTATACATAAATTAACTTATTATACTCACAGCATATACTATATCATGTTTAGTATGTGGAGATAAATGAATCTTTCAACTAATCTTTGGTACATCTCTCTATCTACAGCAACATCTTCATTGGCTTTTCTAATTTTATAATTAGGATCTATAGGGGTATTTTTAAGTTTACATGCAAGCTTTTCAGTTTTCTTAAGAAGATCCATCATATATTTATGTTGTGAGATGAAAATACCATGTCGTGAGTGAGCTACTTCAATTCTTAAAAAGTACTTCAATCTCCCTAGCTCTTTTATCTCAAATTCTCTAACCAAATACTATTTTAAAAATTTTCTCTTTTTTTTATTATCGTAGTTACAATTATATCATCAATATACACTAATAGAATTGTGACTCTCCCTGAATCAGAGTGCTTGATAAACAATGTGTGATCTCATTGACTTTGTTTATATCTCATTGCTAGCACAACTTTAACAAATCTCCTGAACCAAACCCTAAGAGACTGTTTAAGGCCATACAAAGCCTTTTTTAGCTTGCATACTTTGTTTGCTTCTAGATGACCTCTAAATCCTAGTGGAATCTTTATATATATTTCTTTTTCCAAATCATCATGTAAAAAAGAATTATTTACATCAAATTGTTAAAGCTGCCAATTATAATTTACAGCCAATGATAACAAAATCCTAACTGTATTTATCTTGGCAACTGAAGTAAAAATTTTCTGATAATTCACTCCATAGATTTGAGTGTAACTCTTAGTCACTAACCTGACTTTATACCTTTCAATAGTACCATCCGTCTTGTATTTTACAGTGAAAACTCATTTAAACCCCATTGAATTTTTTTTGATGCAACTCTACCAGTTCTTATATTTTATTTTTCTCTAAAGCTTCCATTTTTATTATCATGGCTTACCTCTATTTCTCACTAGATAATACCTCGGATAATGTAGTTGAAATAGAAATAGTATTTAGGTTCATAAGAAAATTTTTGTGAGATTGTGAAAAATTTTCAAATGACACAAAATTAGAGATTATGTATAATGGATGCTTAGTACATTCTCTAATTCTTTTTCTAATGGCAATATGTAGATCATAATCACTAGTTATAGTTTTAGAATATTTATGCTTATTTTGAAAAATCGAGTCAAAGACTGTAGTTATCTCATTTTTAGAGTTAAGATGAAGTTCTTGGACTGACACTGGTTTAGGATCTAAAACTTTTTTCTTGAGTACACATGTAATTTCTTCATAGAATCAAGAATAATATTATTCTTTGTCACATATTTTGTGTTTGAAATAAGTTCAGACTCAAATTTAATGTTTAACTTAGGCTCAGTAGAAATAGGTTTCCACTTAAAAGAATTAATGGGTGAAAATGTTGAAGAAAAGGGCAAATTAAACAAAAAGAAGTCTTTATCCTTATCTTCCATGAATAAAGTCTCCCCTTAAAAATAAGACTAAGTAAAAAATGTTTTACTTTTTTCAAAAGTGATATCTGCAGATATATAAAATTTTTTGGTTGAAGGATGATAACACTTATACCTTTTCTGAGTTGATGAATATCCCACAAAAATGTACTTAATTACTTTAGGATCCAACTTTCTCCTATTGTGACTATGAACATGAACAAATGATGTATAATCAAATATCCTAAGTGTGAGGTTATTTATGGTATTAAAGTTGGATAGAGTTGTGAAAGTACTTTCATAGGAGTTTTCAATCCCAAAACCCTTGAAGGTAACCTATTTATAATATGTGTGACAATGAAAACAGTTTCCCCTCAGTAAAATTTGGGTACGTTTGCTTGAAAAATTAAAGCTTAGGTTGTGGCTAGTAAATGATTATTTTTTCTCTCTGTCACTTCATTTTACTATGGAATATTAACACAAGATGAATCATGGATAATTCACTCCTTTTAAAAATAGGTAGATAAACTCTAATTGAAATAGTCTCTTGCATTATTAGACATAAATCTCTTGATTTTCACTCTAAATTGATTTTAGATCATATTTTGGAAGCTTAAAAATATACTATGCACATCTGATTTGGATTTAAGTAAAAATATCTAAGAGAACCTGATACAATCATTTATGAAAGAAAATAAACCACCTTACACTCGAAACATTAAAAATTATAGGACCCCATATGTCACTATGAATCAGGTAAAAAGAAGTAAAACTTCTTTTATTGCTAACTGAAAAAGTCATATGTTTATGCTTTGCAAGTTCATAAACATCACAATGAAAATTTTTAGCATTTAATCCTTTAAACAAAGAAGAAAACATATTTTTTAAAGTTTCAAAAGAAGGATGTCCAAGACGAAAATAATAAAGTTAGATTTTATCTTTACTAGGAGATTTTTCAAAAAGAAATGATAAAAGTAAACTATTCTTGATATTATTTATGTTGTTTAATGTCTTAAGATAGTATAGTCCACCTTTCTCCTTAATAAGTCCAATCCTCTTTCCCTAACTATTGTCCTAAAATTCATAATAAAAGGGATAAAAAAATCACTTTACAGTTCATATCTCTGGTAAGTTTTTGTATAGATATCATATTAGTAGACAATCCAAAAACATGAAAAATATTTTTAAGAACAAATGAGAGATTAATTTGAACATCTCTTAATCTTGCCACTGTAATAAGCGAATCATTTATAACAATAATTTTCTTATTATTAGGATACATGATATATGTACTAAATTTTTATGATGAATGTATCATATGGTTTGTGGCTTCTGAGTCAATGACCTAAGAACTCGTAATATACTTAATCGAGATATTTAATCTATGAGAACCAGAAGCTTTACCTAAACTAGAGACCTTACATAAGGAACATATCCCAATAGGCCTTTCAAAGGTTTTCAATAGGTTTTTTAACTTTTCAATCTCTTCTCTGTCCAACTCTGCTTGTTTTTAAGATATTTTTAGTATTTTGATGATTTTTTCAGTTGACACTTCCTCAAATTAGGTGGTAGTGATATTTTTTTTTGAACTAAAATAAGTCTTAAGATATAACTGAAAATGACTCTTAGTAATTAAGGTTAAAGAAAGAAAAAATAAATGGTTATGAAGGCCAGGGTTCGACAATAAAGGCTTAAACAGGGTTTGGCAATCAATGCATAAAATAAAAGTTAGTAATAAATGTTAAAAATTTTACTTCCCAAGAAGAGCCTAAAGCTTTGATATCATGTGAAAAAATTAAGAAATAAAACTATATAAAAAATTAAGAGAAAAAACTGAATGTATATTGAAAAACTATTCATTAAGAATTATACAAGCACCTTAAGTTTATATATAACTAACTATGGATTAAACTAAGAAATTAAATATTTTCAAAAACTGATTTTCTAATTGAGGGATTATCTATCTTATTTTTTAAAATTTTTTATCCTTAATTTTAAAGATACAAATATTTAATTTTAACGATACAAATATAAAAATATAGATAATAAAATTACAACTAACTATAAATAAGTGTTTTTCCATAATTTCAATAATGACAATAAACAAAATAATACAATTTGTTAAAAAATGTTCAAACAAATAAAATAAAAAAGATTATGAAAAAAAAATAAAGGTTGCTATTTTATTTTTTGTTAATAATATTAGATGTACTACTGTGTGGTCACCAGTGTCATATCATGTACCTAAACTTCAACGTCTTCCAGGCTCTCATTTAAATATAATAATAGTAATAATTTCTTAATCTTAATTAATTTTCTATTTTATTTTTTTGTTTAATGTCCTTTCATTCCTTTATTTCTTTCTAATTTCCATTTTGAAACAATCAAGCTGAGGATGAAGACACCTTCTGTGGAATCTTTTTTAAAGAAAAGACAATTAAAAAAAGTGTCTTAATCCTGAAAATATTTTCTAATTTTAGAGAACTTGTAGATCCTTTCTCTTTTGTCTTGTCTTTTGGAATTAATTGATTCTAGTAACTTTTAAAACTATCACATTGAGAGGGAATTAGCAAGGTTTTACCTTCAATTATCATCTCAAAGCTCCAATTAATCCAACAGATGAATGAAAGAATGAGATTTTACATGCAAAAGTGTTTCATGTTCAAGCTTTGGGGGGGTAAAAATGGGCAATTGTTGCTTAAAACCAATGTTTTGAAATCTGTTTTTGAGCCAATAATTAAAAAGACTACTATTATTGCATCTTACAATAAAGGGTCTCAGATATTGTCAATGATGTCCGACCAGAAACAAGTTTTCAAGGAGAAAAGTTGGCAGCTGAGGATTAAATTAATAATGAAAAGAATAAAAATTTCAATTTATTTTCTCATAAATGATTGAAATTTTAATTAGACTCGATCGAAAATATCAATATTTGAATTCAAAGCCGTCCATTTCGATAGATGACTTATTCGGTCAATTTAAACGAAAGCTATAGCTTTTATGAATCCTAACTTATTTTCATAGTAAGTTCCTCCACAACAATGAGGACAATTTCAATTTGTAAAAAACTGCATAATTACAACTTGTCGTACAAGATGAGCAAGAAATGAAAGTGAAAATCGTACCTAATATAAATTAGGAGTAAATTAAAGTGTTTTGCGCTAAATTAATTTGACTAATCAAGTTCTGACCCATTATTTATATATGAATGGTGAGCTTATAGAAACAGAAGCTACAGTCCAATTATAACAGTCCATAAGTATTCTTTAAATTGTTTAAGCTTTATAGACTCTTCAAAAGACTTGTTGCATCATCTTAATCGAAATATATATATATTTTTAGGACGTAGGAGAGACACAAAATAGCTTGAATTGATTAGTTTTTCATCCATCCTAAAAGGTCCTTAAAAAAAAAAAAAAAACTATCTATGATTTAGGATTAAAATATATAATTGAAATTCTAAGGAAATTCTTCTGATCAATATTTGATTTGTTTAATTAATATAATTAAATTTCAAACCAAATATTCTTCTTGAAACTTGGTTAATTAATATAATTATATTTATTTATGCAAGCATTCGCCGGGAGGACGTCCCATCGTTTCGTCACAAATGATGAAGAATATTTGATTCCTCCAAATGAGTCCTAACTTCACACCTATGTTTCCTATGCAAATTTCACATAGGAATTTAAGAAGCATGCACTTTGATTAAACTAAATTGTACACGTCCAGTAAGTACGGCATCTTTTTTTTTTTTTTTAATTACAAAGAAGCAGTAATTTAAAATAAAAAAATTACAAATATTGAAATTTCAAATTTAAATCTATTTGATGATATCTGTTAAGAGAGACTACATCAACGCGGTGTCTCTTTTGCTAAGTTTCTCTAGGAATTCAGTCAGAGGATCACAGTTTGTCTGTAAGCAGCTACATCGCAGGATTAACACCTCCATTCAGGACCCACACTAGTAATTTTGTAAGCCATTAATCCTCTAAAGAAGCAAGAAGAGTAGCTACGTACTTAGAAGCCAAAGGTAGAGTAGCCATCAATTAATTCATCTTCCAATCAACTCTCTGAGTATAGATTCTAACATGTAGTTTTTAGGTCTTTAGCCTTGATTTAGACTTTCTTTCCTTCTGTCTCCAAGTCCAAATCATCCTCTCCAAATTCCCCTTGCCAAGGTTCCCCCAGGCTTTTTAGACCTCCTTGTAGCCAGGAAGCTGATTTCAGCCTCTTAATTAACTAAGAGTGAAATGGAGCAAGCACAGTATTGGATGTGGACAAAGAGGAGACACGGTTTGAGTTCTCATCTTCAAGCATCAGCAAACGCTACATATGATGATTCATGGGAAGAGCAAGCTTTTGCGGAAGATACTGCTGGATCTCTTGGAGGGTGTATATGGCCTCCAAGGTCTTATTCTTGCAACTTTTGTGGCAGGGAATTTAGATCAGCCCAAGCTCTAGGAGGTCACATGAATGTTCACCGGAGGGATAGAGCTAGGCTAAAGCAATCTTCAACTTCACAGGATGAAATTCCTCATCATAATCATCAAAATAGTCAGAATAGCATTCAAAATCCCTTTTTACCTATGGGTTTTCAGTACCAACCTGGAGAGGTTTGTAACTTTGTTTATAACCCTAACCCTAATTCCCATCATGGTACTCTTCCATCACCTTCTTCAACTTCTAGAGCTTCACCTCCGCCTAATAAAGAGAATTGTCCTGAACAAACTTTAGTTCCGCCTTTCTGTTCACCAATCATCCAAGAACATCCCAACATGTCCCCTAACTTATCCCCAAAATCATCGTCAAACTTGGTTGCGGACAGATATTACCGTTTCCCTGATCTAAGGACTGAAGGAGAGAAGAGTCCAAGAATCCTAGAATCTGGATGTAGGTTAAAAGCAGATTATGTCCAAACTGATTTGTCCGTAAGCTTGAATCTAGTTGTTCGACGACCACGCCCTACCACATCTGGTAGTACAGAAGAGACTGTCGGTTGCAAGAGAAAGAGAACTGATACACCAACATTACCATTCTTCCTCAAACCGATTTCGATTGAAAGACATCATCTCCAACCAGCTGAGGTACCTGAGCTTAGCCCCAGCTCAGTTGATGACATAGATCTTGAGTTAAGACTTGGTGACCGGCCCAAGGTACAGTAGCTTGCTCAGAAGACCATACTTAAAAGGACATATAACTGGCCTTTCTTCAATCATATGTTTGCCTGCAACCTCATTTCCATTTGATATTTTTCCTTCCCTCCGGATGTCTCTCAACAACTCTTTGCTTTGAGTTTGACGAATTAGCTCTCTCTAAATCTTTATGACCTCACAGGGTATATGTGAATTAATATATTTCCTTCAAGATGATGAAAATTGAAAAATACTCCTAGAGAGACTATCATCCCCATGCATATGATCTTAGCTTGCTGATCTTGACAATATTGTTGGTTCAATCGATTGTCTATGATATTTATACTATGTTTGATTTAGATATCAAGGTCGATAATATCCATGCCTCTCTCGGCCACATAGAGTTTCACTCCTTGAATATTTTTTTTTTCATTTGTAGAAAAAGAAGCTTATTAAACCTTTCATATATACATTGATAAGTCTATATATAATGCTAGCAATGTTTTGAGGATTCACAGGTCCAATTTATCAATGTCGACTGATTTCATCCTCTTATTATTTGCTTACCATCTGATTTGTTGATAGCCATCTTTACTGCAACAGCACATAAATATATTCATTGATAGCTTCAACTATCTATGTTCTAATTTGGATTAAGATTTCACGTTTAGGTCTGATCCATAATGATCATCGATTCATACATATGTCCCTCGACTCAGTAACGTTTAATTTTGTAAAGGGACATCAGTCATGTTGACAATTTCAGTAGCAGATGGAAAATTTTTTTTTGACATATTTGTCTGGGTTTTGAGTCCTCACAGAGATGAATGTGAAGTTAAAGAAATCTTAGATAGCTAGTGAGCTTGGAGTGAGAGAAGGGTGCTGAAAGGATCAGACTAAAACTGCATGGAATATCGTGAGGCAGCTCTTTTCTCATTCAGTAACTCACTGACATTATTCCATCAGAGATTTACAAAACTAAAACCAAACAAACCCACAAAAACACTAGTCTGAGTAGAGATGCATGGATATATAATCAAATCCAAAGGCATCTAAAGTCAGATACATGGCAACATGGTTTCCCTTTTTTCCATTTTACTATTATTTATTAAATATTAACAACATCATCATCATCAGATCTGCTACCCTCTCTTCCCTCCACCACATAACTCCATCTACTTGTGTTCTCTTCTCCCACTTTTTCCCCTTTCTTTTTCTATTTCTCTCTCTCCCCTTTATAATCCTTCCAAATTTGCCACCAACTCCGGGAATCATTACATTTAAGTATTGCAACCTGATATTACAATGTGCTTGTGATTTTTTCTTTTTTTTAATATTGAAGAGAATATTATGCCATCATGACTTATAGCCGCTTTCTACGCATATTTTGTTCCTTCTTCTATTGTCTAATCTGTTAATAATTAATTAATTAAGAGGGTGGTGTTCTTCTATTTCACCAGAGAAGAAATAGAGTTTAAATCACGATATAATAGGTATTTACTTAAAATCGTAGAAAACCCAGAGCTGTTGATTTTCTTTCTTACTTGAAACTGAAATTTGATGGAACATCAGCTGATTGACTTTGATAGCTTTACAGGGGCAGAGGTAAGCTAGTTAGTATATATACAAAAGGAATTTAAGGGATACAAAACAAATTATTTTCCATTAAAATGCTAAGGGTTGAAAATTGTTTTAACGATGCATGTGATAGTGAAAGAGAGAGAGAGAGAGAAAAAAAAAAAAAAAAAGCAGAATACAAGAGAGGAAAGTGAGATTGCTTGCTTTGGCTTCTACGAAGTTCCACATCCGCGTAAGATGGTTTTAAAGTGATTGGTTGGGCTTTGTCTTCATTAGGGCAATGAGTTGGATAGGCTTTTGCCTTTGCTTAATAACAAGAAGGGCGAGCGTCTGAGACGTACAGGCTATATGCCGAGGGTTTCAGTCTAAAAGTTTAATTGTTTTTGGAGTGGGACAGCGGGCAGAGAAATGCACATGGGCTTGAAATGTCGTTTCTCTGCTCCTTTTTCAAGGAGTTGTTAATATAGAATTGATCAAAGAGAGATATATGAAGGGAATGGCCGGGAATTGGGAAGTTGTTATCATAAGCATGTACCTGCCTGGGTTTCTCTGTTTAGAGCATTTTTGTAATACCAAATTATTGTTTAAAGAATGAGAATTTTGACGCATAAAATACAAATTGGGTTGGTTGCTGCTTGGAAGTAATAGTAGTAGTTGTTGTTTATTATTGTTTTGACAACTAAGGGTATATTTGGATGGGAAGGAGTTCCATCACCTGAAACTTCCTCCAACTAAGATTAAAAGCTATCAATAGACATTTGTTCAACCAGAAACATTCAAATTTATTAAAGTGAATGTTCAAAACTGAATCAGACTTTCAAAACTACTGTATTGTTTTTTTTGTAAACTATATATTTTCCAGGTGATCCATGGATACGAACATCAAAGAAAGTAAATAAACAAAGTGTTGAGGCATTGGTTTAGTGATAAAGGAGGACTTTGATTCTTGAGATCCCGGATTCTCACATGTGGATTTGGTTCAATTTGAAATTGAATTTATCCAATTATATGTTGGCTCATAGGTTGATTTATCCATTTAATTTAAATCATACAAGGTTTTAAACTCATGAAGGGAGTGTTAAAATTGTCCCTGGAGATTCGATTAGACTCTGGATGCTACTGACTGAAACGTTTAGGAAACAGTTTTTCTTGTTCTTTGGAGAGAAAATAAGTAGAAGTTTAACTAGCACCTGACTGACATTCAACTAGCATAATTTGGGTATATAGTGTTGTTCTTGCTACAAGGTAACCTCTGCCTCTGCAGGCATCTCAAATACAATTACTTACAGCAATTCGCATATTCAGATTCAGTTGCAGTCTTCAACCCATATTCTAATGCAAGAATATTTGAGAAAATGTATAATATATTCACCATGAGACATGGCATTTTGTTAAGGAATCTCGACTAAAATGCAATCAAACTTGCAAATATATAGCATTTGGTTTTGTAGTGCAAAAAGAGATTGGCTTGTGGTTGAAAGTTGTAGGCTATAAGATCAAATTACTTACAGATTTGCATAATTGAAGCAGCTTGGACATTTACTTATATTCTCAGCAAATCAGGTCTGTTCCCATCAATGTTGGGAAGTACTAGGGGGTAATTTGCAGTAGGTAAGAGAAGAATTCGACAAATTTAATTTCTTTATATGGAGTATCCAAGATAAACATATATCTTATTCATAGTTAAGTGTTAGTTTGTTTGATCTATCATACAAGAGATACGTCGGTTGGAGTCAGTTATACTGCTTGGATCAGAAATGATCATAACTAAAAAATTTTCTTGTCTTTCTACTTATCTTTCTACTTAATTACAATCAGGATTATAGAATATGTAGATGTTCAAATCTGGAACCAAAGAGTAATCAAGTTGGAGAGAAGCGAGGCTGGTTGAGAGGGTAGCTGGTCAAGTATTTGCGGTCATAACGTGCAATCTATCAGCTAACGTTAATATGAGCATAACTGTGGCGGTATTTTCATCGGTTTGGTAGGTCATGGAGCAAGGGTCGGGGAAAGCTAATAAGTTATACCTACCTTTCCTGCTTCAAAATGATACTGTTATCAATTTCAACTTGTTTCATCTCTCTCTCTCTCTCTCTCTCTCTCTCTATATATATATATATATATATATATATATAGTTGGCTGTGGTTGGTTAGGCACATCAAAATTTCCCACAAACATGTCGAAAAATTATCATCAAACCTCAAATTTTCGATGAAATTAACATGCATGTTTTTAATTAGGACGGTGGATGATATATATAAATATATATCAAAATATACATATTCAGATGCATTGACTGAGCAACTGATTATCTTTATTTACTCGGAGTCCAATGTAAAATGTATATATCACTAAGAACTAAGTGTCTTTATCAAGTGCTGCTGCATCATGAAAAATGCCTAACTTGGATCAGAACCTGCAACATCATGGAGCTGTTTAACAGACGGTGAAGTCAGACGTTAAAAATTAAATCATAAAATTAAAAACCCCACTCAAATGTCAAAATCATTCCTGCCTAATCTCATGATCATATATATTATTGTAATTTAATCTTAATTCGTGGCCCAGTTTGCTAGTTTAATATTCCTTGAATCATCTGGCATATGTTCTTATAGTTAATTATATAAATTTGTAGAAAGATTGGTGAAGTAAACGAAATGAATAAAAGGATTTTATCTAGAAAGTTATTAAACAAACTCATTAGATAAAGCACATTTTCCTGGTAAACATTCAAACCAAGGATGGCTTGCCAGCAGCACCTTGTTAAACAAGAGTAGTAGTGAATCTATGTATTTAGAGTTGTCGGTTTTTGGGGATTTGTCAAAAAATATTTAGATCAAATCTTCTGTGTCTGCAAGAAATTGATGCAACTGCGTAAAATGTATAGATAGTTACTGAAGAAATGAAATATTCTTTGATTGGCTACAAAAAAAAAAAAAGAAATAGTGCCAATTGGGTTTAATTGATCAAGGAGTAAGGTATAGTGTAATGCTATTATTCCCTTATTTATAAATAAATTTCAAATATAAACCACATTATACTCTTTTCTGTGCTAATAAACAATTTAAGAAAGGTAAACCAACTACCAACTAATTTAAATAATAAAATAAATATTTTGTTAGTACATAATATTTTCAGGAATTGAGCATTAATTATTAAAATTAATTAAAAAATCAACACTATATTAATAAATGACACAATTATTAATTAAAAAGACATATGTCTTAATAAACCAAAAGAAAAAAAAAAGTGCTTATGAGAGATAGAAAGAGACTTTGTTTAGGATTGAAACAAAGTGGCACGTTGTTGTTGTATTAGATTAGTCGGCTGCAAATTAATAAAAAAATCAGCAAGATTATATAATCGAAAGTCTACGTTTTGTGAATCTTGGTCAGGCAAAAACTAAGGTGAAAAGGAACTGATTAGTTTAGACAAGTAGTATAGCAACTGGATCGGCTGTCCCATGATGCAGAGGTTTTCTATAGCCTACGTAGAATATAATAAACTCATCATTAACCAACTTCTTCTTCAAAAACATCGATAGACAGTGATGAAGACCTGTCTTCAGAGACAGCCAAAATGCTTGCCATTTATCCCAAAGATAAATAATTAGCATTTAAGGGATTTAATGTCAAGGCCTATGGTTGGTATTGCACGTAGTACTTTACTCATCATCAATTAATGCATCATATATTGTTATACACAATATAGTAAGGTCAATTTGAATAATTGATAAACAAGAAAAAAGTTAAAATTTTATGTGTCAAGAGTGAAATTTGAGAGCTGTGACAGAAGTGAAATTTTCTGTTTGTTCTTCCAAATCAGTTTTCTGTAGAGAAATATTGCTTTTTAGCTTGAAGGAAAAAAGCTTCTCTTGATTGCCTTCGTAAATTAAAGTTGTTTTTTTTTTTTTTATTTATTTAAAGTTGTTAATATTTAATTTTTTATCATTGAAATTAAAATTTTAACACTTTATTAAGAATTTATGTAACTAATCTGCGGATCATATATTAAATTTATTTGAAAAATATTTAGTAAAAATTTGGATTGATTGCCAGGAGTCAAAGTTCCTAAATAAAAACATTGCTTACAACCGCCTAGTTGACTCTGTTTGTGCCACCAAAGCTATCTCTCCTACTCTTTCATCTCTTAATTTCTTTCAAGCTTAGAAATGGATACAAAACACCCAAAAATAAAAAAGTCTGACCAAATAGTTTGGAGCTTGGAGGAACTTTCAGGATCAGGCCATGCCAAGACTTATAGATGTTCCTTTTGCAAAAAAGGCTTCTCAAACGCACAAGCGCTAGGGGGTCATATGAACATCCACCGAAAAGACAGGGCCAAGCTTAGATCAGAATCCTCCGAAGAAAACATACTTTCTTTGGACATTGTGAAGATGAAATATCCTACTGATCACGATCATTCCCAGGTTTCCGAAATCATACTAGAATCTAGTGAAGAGAAAAGTTCAAGTCCTAAAAGACCATGTAAACTTTCCAGGGAGGATGCTTGTGCCAGTGCCAGTCCTGGGGGCAAAGATGCCATTGAAGAAGTTAAGCAGCTAACGTTATTTGTTGAGGGGCCTTCGATGAGTGATGAGGGTTGTTGGCGGTTGATTCATGGTTCTTCATCTCAGATAGAATTGGACCTTGAGCTACGGTTAGGCCCCGAGCCTCACCAGGAGACAAGTAGTAAGAATTAATATCAGAGAGTTCTTTTGATGAGTTTATATCGAAGATGATGCATGCTCGAAATCCAAATAAAAAGTTCTGTTTTTTTGCTTTCTCTGCTCTCCTATGATTTTCCCATTGAAAAACAGTACCAGTTACATAAAATTTTTTATTAATTTCTTTCAATACTGCTATTAAGTTTTCATCACCTTTCTTTTTCCTATTATGGGAGTGGCGGATGATGATATGATACGTATATTAATTTGTTGACTATACTGAGATTTCTACAAGTAAATACTAAGCTGCTATTATGCCATTATATTAAAAAAGATTAAAATTTTTTTTTGAAGGAAGTTATTATGCCATTATTAACTGAAGGAAGATAGAGCATTGGAGCTAGGCACAAATGAATAACAAACAATTGTGAAAACAATTTGTACTTAAAACACATATAGAATTATTCAAATTAAATGGTACTAAATCAAGTTAACTAAAGTTGACCACTACAAAGCCATTTTTTTCTTTTCTTTTTTTCTTCATAAAAAATCTTTAATTTCTTAGCATTAGAATTGAGATTGCCTCCAATAATTAAACATTAGGTAGTCAGTTTCATTCAAACGATATAAAAGGGAAAGAGGTTAAATTTATCAATTTACTAAATTTAGGGTTTCATCATATTTACTATTCTATTTTTTTGTATAATTTTACCACTCTATTACATTTTTCTTATATAATTCTAATCAGTTGTCGATAAAAATAGAATGTTCCATCTAAACTAAAGAATGTTCCCTTGATAATTTCAATTATTTTTCATTTTTTATTATATGGACAAATAAAAGTTACTTTGTTTCAAATTTCAACTAAGGAAACTATTAATAATTAAATAAAAAATTAATTATTTTCTAAAAACAATATAAAATTCCACTAATTTTTTTACTATATATTTATATGTGAAAAAAATTATAAGTATTTTATATTTCAACATTGAAATTTATAATTTAAAAAAAATATTTTATAAGAAAATTATCAAAAAAGAATTTCTTATGAATGTCAATATATTTTTTTTCCATTTAACTTAACCTACCTATCAATTTTTTATCTTTTATTTTTAACAAATGGCATATCATTAATCTTAACATTTAACATTCACTTTGTAACGATCAAATGATAACATTGAATCAAAAATCAAGGTAAAATGGTAACATTGGACCAAAAAATTTTTTGAATGATGAACTTTACCAAAATAAAGAAAAAAAAATAGCAATTTCAGAAAACAAAGATATATCCAAATGGGAACTGACTGGGCTTAAGCTCTGAAGGCATGGGCCACTTTGGAATCACTTAACTTGGAGGCCCTTCAATGCCGAATTGATAGATCATAGAATTTTAATTCCTTCAAAATGGAAAAATAAATAGATAAATAAAATGGTGAGAGTGAAAAGACCTTATGCTGCCCCTTAAAATGATAATAAAATCCCCCATCTCAAATCAAATTTAAAAAGAAACCATAAGAGACTTTCAAGGGATTTGATAGCTTTTGATTCCAGGAGGCAAACTCTATATTTTTTCTTTGGTTTCCAAAGAAGATAACTTTTTCTTTTTTCTTTACAGAAAAGAAAGGATGTCAACTGGTACTAGAGAAACGATGTTGGACCCGTTAAAAACCTGGAAATTCCTTGTTTGGCCAACGATTACAATCAAACCCATTGATCTATTAGTTTTCTTATTAAAAACAATTCTAGCTATTTTCACAGTTGCTTCAATTTCTCTCTTTTTGTACTTTGCTTTCTCTAGCCAGCCCCGGTTGCTTTCTTCTCCCAACTACAGTAATAACCCTGTTCGTACTTTCGATCACCATAAGTCCATTTCCAGGAATATTTCCGGTCAGCTTTATGAAAGGACAAATTTGTCCCACATCCAGTTTGGCATCGGTGGCTCAGCCAAGACCTGGAACCAGCGCCGCCATTACTGTGAACTGTGGTGGAGACCTAATGTTACCCGCGGGTTCGTTTGGCTTGATGAGAAGCCTCCGAATGATGAAAACTTGCCACCAACATCGCCTCCGTACAAAATCTCCCAGGATACTTCCTTGTTCAAGTACACATGCCCGTACGGATCACGCTCAGCTGTTCGGATGGCCCGTATAGTAAAGGAAAGCTTCGAGCTTGGATTGGATAACGTGCGATGGTTCGTAATGGGAGATGATGATACAGTATTTTTCCTGGAAAATTTGGTATCTGTTTTAGACAAATATGATCATAATCAAATGTATTACATTGGTGGAAATTCTGAGAGCGTTGAGCAAGATGTGATACACTCTTATAACATGGCATATGGTGGCGGTGGATTTGCCATAAGCTACCCTTTAGCAGCTGAGTTGGTTAAGGTTTTAGATGGCTGCGTTGATCGATACTCGTCGTTCTATGGGTCAGATCAAAAGGTTCAGGCTTGCATGAGCGAGATTGGTATTCCTGTTACTAAAGAGCTTGGTTTCCATCAGGTTAACGTTAATTCTCTTTAATGTTGTCATGAAATTAATTGGAAACAGAGTAATTAACTTGGATAATTACAGGTTGATATTCGAGGGGACCCTTATGGTTTACTGGCAGCACATCCTCTGGCGCCGTTGGTGTCACTTCACCATCTAGACTATGTTCAACCCATTTTTCCGGGGATGACCCAGATTGATTCACTCAAGAAGCTAATTAGTGCTTATGAAAAGGATCCAAGTCGGGCCCTACAGCAAAGTTTCTGTTATGATTTAAAGCGTAATTGGTCTGTTTCAGTGTCTTGGGGCTACACTTTGCAGTTGTATCCATCTCTAGTTACGGCTAAGAAACTTGAAGCGGCATTTTTGACGTTTCAATCATGGAGGACATGGAACAATGGGCCCTTCACGTTTAACACCCGACCCATTGGTAAAGACCCGTGTGAGAGACCTGTTATGTATTTCTTGGATCGTGCTCAGAGGGTTAATGGGGATAGGACCCTGACCACTTACACAAGGCATGTTGAAGAGTCAGCCAAAGAATGTGAAAGGCCGGACTATGCCCCTGCCTTGGCCGTCAAAGTCTTCAATGTCTCGAGTGCAAGGTTGAACCCTGCCATTTGGAAGATGGTGAGCAGCTCCCTCTCTTTCCCTCTCTGATCTGTCAATTTTTAGTTGCTAGAACTTTTTGACATCGTACAAGAATCGTGGTTGAGTTTTGTGTGGTTGTTGGGTGCACTTTGAATTGATCACCAGTGCTAACTTGTTAGATGGGTTAGCACTATCGACCCTGACCGAAATATCTGGCCTAAAAAGGCTGATCAGTTGGTTCCACATACCACATTTTGTCCATTTCTATCAAAAGCAAATCATAACTTCTGGATTGGTCACACTTTGTCACAATCTGATTGGCCAACAATCCAACGTGCTTAGAGGAATTTGACAAAGTGATCATTATCTGACTTCATTCGTGTAAAAATGGTTAAAGTTTAGAATAACGTGGTGCACGTACGTACAGGTCGCATTAAGGAAGCATGAGCTTGATTTTCTGCAATATTTCTAGCCCTTCAATTTTTGCGCAATTCGTGCAAGCATAAAAAAGATGAAGCTTGGTTTGAATTCCTTCTGTCTTAGCTTATCTAAATCGCGCTAAAAATTTGATTAGTGCCCCACACGTTTGCCTGAACCGTTTGATGTATGAACAGGCACCACGTAGACAATGCTGTGAGGTTATCAACGGCGGAGATGGGGTGGGCAACGTGGTCCAGGTCAAGATCAGAGACTGCAATCGGTTTGAGAGCGTGACTCCTCCGTAGAATGTGCCAAAACATTCACACTGCCGCAAAGGATCTGCTTAAGGAGAATTACAAATTGATACAGTCCACTGAGAATATTTAACTAACAATATTTATCGAAAAGGAAATAAAGTTCCCTGTAAATAAAAAAATCTATCTACACTTGTGGATCTACTTGCATTTCCCGAGCCATGTTTTTTGATTTGCCCTTATTTGGGTTTGACCAACTCTTCCCCTTTATCCTTGAGTTGGCATTTAGCAATTTCAGTAATTT